CCTCATAATCTGTCTAGAGGCAAGAAATGAAATTAAAAGCTAGTCTCTAAGACCAACTACACGTAGTATAGGTAGAGAAATATTATAATCTATCACAATTCACAGGCCTTGTTCAAATAGAAATAGTATAGAACAAAGGTATAGTGAAGACTCTAGAGTTTTAGGCCTTTAGCATCAGATGACAAACTATACATGCCAATGAAGACACTACAATGAGAAAGAGATAATAAAAGTTATGCACCAGCTTAAGAAACAACATTCTTAATTAAGAGACTGAATGCATGAGGCATACCTTCCAGTTGAGGACACAATAAGGTGGGCTGGATGATCCAAAAACTGGAGTATCTTCTGACGCTTATCTTCAGAATCTACCACAATAATACCTCTCGCGTATGGCATGGACGGACTTGGTAAAATGTATGCTTGTGATGGAACAGAAGTATGTTCATGTATAAAATCCCTAAATGATGATGGTAATAAGTTTCTCTCCAAGTTTTCAATAAACATAAAATGGGAACTTGGACATTGCCCTCCAAGATCTTTGTCATCTTCCCAAAGCCTGCTATATTTACTGTTTGTTGCTGCAGTTCACAAGGAAGAAGTTAAGAAAAGCTGAAAGTTTTGCATCATAACAAGTGATGGAGTTTCAGAGCAAACCTCCTGTTGTCACAGCAACAATACTCTTGACATTATTCATTCCCTATGGAAACAAGGAAACAGATATGTTTAAGGGTCATGCATCCTAACTCCAATTTATGAACATTATACAGTGAAAACTTGCCTCAAAGGATGAAATCATAGACAAATTACTGCCTCCATTTTCACAAGATGATCCTTCAGATGCAGAAATCTCATACTTCGAAGCAGCAGTCAACATGCAAGATGATTTTCCAAGATTCCGGTTCACCAATTTCAAGAAGGAAGCTATTTTCGGACCAACTTGAGCAACACCTTTTAGAATACACATGCCTTCAATTCCGGTATCGGTTAAGTATCCTTTCTTTGGACCATGAAGCCAAGATATTACAAAGGTGCATAAACACTCTTCCTCTCCATTGCAAAATGAATGGTCCACATTGTGTATCTACCAAAGAGAGGAAGGGTCAAATTTGAAGCAATTCAGTAGTTTCTGCTGTCATTTGGCAAGTAACAAGTAGTTCATCTTTTTTTCTTAACTATTTTTCAGGCCAAGTAAGCAAAGAAAATATAAGCTATCATTTATTGATAAAAAGGAAATGAACACACAATTAAACCAAAAATATAAAAGAAAGAAATATTTATGCCTCAAGAATATGATCCCTTGTCAAGTCCTGCTAATGAAATACAACCAAAGAGAAAGTGGGACACTTGTAGTCATTGCTTAGCTTGGTTTTCTATTTCTCCAGTGTTAGATCAACACTGGAACATTGCTCAATTTGACAGAATAAATTGTTATTGACAGTAACAGAAAGTGACAGAGACACAATATTTACAGGATTTGGTCAATTAGACCTATGTCCATGAGTGGGGAGGAGAAAATTTACTTTACCAGAAGATGTATAACTGAGAGTACACAATCAAAGTTAATACTCTACTTACCCCTCACAGAAGTTCAAATTTTTCTCCAGATAAAATGCATGTCGAAACACAACTTCAAGTTACATAAATCACAACTTCAGAAACTCAAGCTTTCATGTTACAACTTCAAAATCTATGGCCAGACAAAGAGATATCACTGATTTGGACAAATAAGCAAAACTTTCACGGAAAATGTTGGTTGAAAAATGAATTTTCATCACCATAGCATTCTCTCACAGAAGCGATAAATGTTTAACTTATATACAAACATAAAAAAACAGAAGAATTAAATACCGACAGAAACGGCGATACACAACTCACCGCTTCAATAACAGCGTCGTAGAACAGCATGTCCTCCCCGCCGAAAGCGTTACATCCCACACAGACAATCATCCCTTCCTTGAGACTACCACACTCGCTGTCCTGCATCTGAGGCGACACAGACCTAAACCTCTTAACCAGCTCATCAACCTCCTCCTTCGACTTGAAATCTCCAGCATGAAAAACCTCGTCACATTCCTCCGTATACCCCTCATACTTCACAGTCATTGTTTGGCCTTTCATTACGAGCCGTACGCTATACCATGAGTCATCATCGCTCGCTCTGTACTCCAGGTTGTATCCTTTCCGTTTGCGTGGATTCGCCATTGCCGGAAAAAGAAGTTGTTCCGATCTCCGATGGAAAAGGGTATTTGGAATTCTGTTGTTACTGCCAAATTCGTTTTTCATGTGTGAGTGCTTGCAGGAAGACGTGGCGTGTTTCAGTAAGCTAATAATAATAACACCTTCCAGAAACGACGTAAACGAGGTTGAGCTTAAGTAATTTAAAAATGAATTATTCGTCTTAAATTCTACATTCTCTTTTTGATTATATATATTGTTTGATGCGGTGTTTAAAAATACAATTTATTTTCGCTAAAATATCAAACTTCATTAAAGAAAATGATAAATAATTCAATTATTTTTTTAACTAAAAAATGCTTCAAAAATTCAGTTAAGAAAATAATTCTTAAATATTTATGTGAGTATAAATTATTTCAATAAGAATAAAAAAATTAAAATTAAATTATTTTAATTATAATAAAGTAATATTTTTTAAAATGATCTAAAAAGGAAAGATATCACATTAAATGTGAGAGAGAGAATATTTGAATCGTGTTGGATCCGGCTCTTCTCAATTTTTCTTCTCTCCATTTTCCCCAAGTTCCTATTTGAATTTGTGACACATGGCATAAGTTAAATTAAATGACTAAGTTTTAATTTCTAAAGTAAATTCTAATCATGATTTAAATAATAAATATATTATATATTTAATTTTAAAAATAACTATAACCCCCACAATCTTAGCAACATATTATCTTGTTCATAAATTTTGGGGAAAAAGAGTTCTGTTCCTAAATTTTTTACACAGGATGTTACTTTTATTTTATTTTTAAGTTAATCTTTTTATTGCATTTTTTCCTTGAACTTTTCTTTTTAACCATTAGCTATTGAAGAGCTATTATTTTTCCTATTTTATTTCACCTTTTTTTTCTATTTCCTCCAAAATTAACATTAGCTATTATTTGGCGGCAATTCAATGTTCATATAATCAGCAACATCTTTTTTTAGAAAAAATATATAAGCTTAAAAGTTTTTCATCTTATTGAGTTATCGATTCAGTAAGGATTTGAGTTATTTTCTTAACAATAATTCAATAGTAATTTATTGGGATAAGGGTCTGAAAAATACCCCAACTTTGGTCGGATTTGTTGTTGCGATACTAAACTTTCATGAGGACCTATTACCTCGTCTAGGGAGGTAATAGGTCCTTATGAAAGTTTAGTATCGCAACAGCAAATCCGACCAAAGTTGGGGTATTTTTCAGACCCTTATCCCTAATTTATTTAATTACAATTCTACATTTAGTTGACTAGTTAGCTTAGGCTTCAGTTCATTTTTCAATTCTGATTTCTCATAGAGAAAGTTTCAAACAAAGATTACGATAAAAATATTATTTAAAAGAAAATTAAAAAAGATCGTAAAAAAAAAAGGAAGAGAACTTTTTTCCCTATATTTATGGACAAGATAATATGTTGCTAAGATTGTGAGATTATAATAATTTTTAATACTAAATATATATTGTATTTATTAGTTAAATCATAGTTAGAGATTTACTTTGGGAAATTGAATCTTAGACATTTATTTTAACCTATATGTCATGTATCACTGATCCAAATAGGAACTTGGGGAAAACGGAGAGAAGAGAAATGGAGAGGAGTCGGAGCCGATTATGCTGAATTAAGTTACATAACTCAATCTATTTAATTGTTACTACGTACTATATTTTAAATTCAAAATTTATTTGAGTATCTAAAAAAATATTATAATGACGGTAAAAAAATATATCACATATAAAGAATATTTTTTTAAAAAACAATTTAGATAAAATTTGCATGGTGATATAGACGGTATATCCATCCAAATTAAAAATGAGTCGAACTAAGCAAATCAAAATAAGTTAACTTAATAAAATAAATAGGTTACTAACTCGTTCAAAATATGTCAACTTAAAAAACTCGTTCAAAATAAGTTAATATCATGATTTATTATGTATTAATTATCATATTTATAGAGTAAATTTGTATCAAAAATATCATATTATGAACATTATACGGTGAAAGTTTGTCTCAAAAGATGAATTAATAGACAAATTACTGCCTCCATTTTCACAATATATATGACCCTTAAAAAGGCAAATATATCACTAAATGTATTATTTGTTGATGTGCGCGCGCGTGCGTGCATGTGATTTTCTAATTATTTGTATTTTGAATAATTTATAAAATTGCATACATATTAAAATTAGGGAAAATTGTATGAAATAACAAACTATTAATTCAAATTAAATGTTATAGCCATAATTTATTTTATTTGTAATTCGCAGCAAACATCTCTTTTTTTTTGTCATCTGATTCGGTATACAATTACCCATTCGGTATACAAATGTATAAAATGCGTTCGTGTTTGTATAAAGCGAGAGAAAAGTGTATATACATGTTGACACCCAATTTTGGCCTAACATTTTCAAAATTCGTACCTTTTAAGTTTTATTTATTTAATGGTTCAAAATAAATTTTTTTATAATTTTAAATAAATTTATCGATAACTATCCTTATTTATCAAAATTTAGAATTTTTTATCAGTTAATTTTAAAATTATATTTTTTCATGTCATTAGTTACGTTCATTATATTTTTTTTATATATATATATATTCATTTTATTTGTTACATTCATTAATATTCATTTCGATATTTTGCACAACCTAAAAATTCATTCAAATATAGATAATATTTCATACACAGATATTTTATTAACCGATGATTTTGACCCGCAATTTTAAAATAATGATATTGTAATTTTCAACTCCATATATAAAGAATAGTTTGTCTATTAGGTTAAAGATGGGAGGTAAATTATTATTTTTAGGAGGTAAGAATTTTCTAAAGGGCAAAAACACTAAAAAAAAATAAAAATTCATCATCCCTTTTCCTCCCTTAGCCTCCACCACCTCAAACCCTACCAAATCCCCCACCTCTCTCTTCTTCATTTTTCCGGCGAAACCTCGCCGGAATACAACCAAACAGAAGCACAAAACAACCTCTTTCTTCTCCACCAGATCCAACCCCAAAACCCCCTTCGTTTTCCCATTTTTCCGGCAGCAGCTTCGGTGAGGAGCTCAAAGCTCCGATGAACCGGAGCTAAACAACCCCATACCTTCTCACCACCAAGCTAAAACAACCACCAAACAACAATCAAACAGCCCCCCAAACCCAACCGAAACAGCCACCAAAACCCCTTTCGTTTTTCTTCTTTTCCGGTGAAAGAATCACCGGAAACGACCCCAAATGGCCAGTCCCTTTCCTTCTTTCCCCTTTACGATTTTTATTTATTTTGCAGGTATTCCGACAAGCTCCAACGGCCAGCGAGTTTGAAGCTCGCCGCCACTAACTCCGGCCAACGCCAACGAGCTCCGAGCTCATGAACCAACAACAACCAACCAAGATTCCAGCGGACAACAACAATAAGAACAACAAATCAGATGAGCTCTAAGCTTTGAAATTTCAGATCCAGCCAGAATGCAACAAACAGAGACGAACTCTAACAAACCTCGCTTCCAGATTGCTCGGAAAAGCAACACTCTGGTGAGCCTTTTAGTTTTCCGTTTATTATATCCAATGTTGGCTTAATTTTATTATTTTCATTTAGTTTATGGCTGTTGTTGGTTACTTTATTTGTAGATAAATATTATTAGAGTCATGATCAGTTGCTTGTTTTCTTTCAGATCCTATAAAGTGACACTAGTGTTAGCTTTAATTTATCAACTAAAGAATATTGATGTATTAATTTCTATTACGTTGTCATTGATATTTGGCCTTCTTTTAACTTTTCATTTCATATTGTTATTATCTTTGTTTAAGCTTTGGGTTAGTAAAATTTTAAATTAGTTTGGTTATCTGCATCTATTTTCAGTTTGTTTGGTTATATTTATCACAATTTAACTTCATTTATTTCTTGTTCCTGTTTTGACTATTAAATAAGTTAGACATTGTTTTCATTTCCTCATTATTTGTTAAGTTGTTGCCTACTGTTTATTATTATTATTATTATTATTTTTATCGTTATTAATGTTAGTTGTTTAGTTGATTATGTTTCATGTTTACTTGAAAACTTGTCCCTAGAAATTTTACGTTTTTTTTCCTCTACTTATGAAGTTATTTTTTGTTTATTCTAAGTATGATTACTTATAAACTAATATAGCGTATATTTAAATGTTCTTATTGTTCGCATTTTCTAGTTAGCAACTTTATTCAGAACTGTATGGTTGATTATTCTCAATTGTTTAGATCTTTTTCTTTTTTTATCTTTAACCTTATCATTTTTTGTTATTTTTTGGCCAATGAGAAAATCTCTCCGTCGGTTTTGGAGGCTTCTACATTGTAAAAGACGAAAATTTAGTTTAAGTTCATATTTGTTACAAGTTGAAATTGGCCAATGAGAAAATCTCTCCGTCGGTTTTGGAGGCCTCCACATTGTAAAAGACGGAAATTTAGTTTAATTTCATATATTTTGTTTGTTCAAAATGGCCAATGAAAAAATTTCTCCGTCGGTTTTAGAGGCCTTCCCATTTTTAAAGACGGAAATTTAGTTAATGTTTATATTTTTT